GTGTTCAAAGAGGTGCAAGTAGTACATACACCATTGTACCCTAAATGTTCAGTTCTTGGTATAAGCTCTATCTATGTATGGATAATCCGGCAAAGATCAATGCCTAGAGGTTTAGCTAAGGAACAGCTGATGGAAAGTTTGTTATACTTGTAAGATATGGTTGTTTCATTCTTTGTTCTCTATATGTGCCCTACTGTTCTTGATGTTAATGCACACTATTTCCCTTTGTACCTAATGTGTTCGATGGAAATTTTCGAACTACTGCACCTTAGTGTTGTTGATGGACATGGACGTTTTGTACACTGTACGCTGGTGTTGTTGATGTAGGTATTGCAGTGCTCTACGACACTATAATGGCCCAGTTAAACATGACGACACAGTTCTCCTGTTTATGTCTGCCAGTAAGTCGAGATGAAGTAGATCAAGTTACAACTGTTACTAAGAACATTGCTAATGTCACTCTGTCCACATTGCAGACATATCGCGACAGATCAGTGTGTACCATAATACGATACGAGTATATACTAATGATGTAAAGAGATTTTTTCCTTTGTGGACACCTTCATCACATTAGTCTTTTGGCGATGGACTAGAAAGAGCTTAGTCTTCCGTGGACACCTTTGTTTGCCATTATCAAGAATTCAGAAGGTTACCTCTGGAAACCTGTTTACGTATTTTTTCCTTTCCTTTTAAAATGTTGGTTTTGTAACTTCGTATTGTTTATTTTTTCTCTCAAAGTTTTGTTACTTCGTATTGTTTATTTTTTTCTCTCATAGATGAAGCTAGATAAACATCATTTGTTATTGTCTGCACAATTTCTTTCTGTTTGCGACGCAAGTGTTACGTTTATGTGTTGATACATAGAACAAAACAAAAAACACTATTTTTACTTGCGCATACTGCTTGCAACGATTTCTTCTTAAAATAACGTGTAATAAATTAAATCTAAAATAGCTTATGTAATCATAAACTATTCCTACAAGACAAAAAGGTAACGATGCTTATCCACAGAGCTCGGGACAAGGAGGTGTAGTGAAAAATTAAGACTGGCTCCTGGATCTATTCTTTAAGAGTAGGATGACCAGAATCCCTCTATATAAAATAAATGCATAAAACTAGGTTATAAATCATAAAACTAAGTAATTTTGAAACATGCTTAGAAATGTGTTATATTCTTTACCATGGTACCAGGCAAGTAAAACTGATAATATACACTTGTTAACCAAGTTTGAGACTTTAAATTTTAAGTCTATTCTAAGAGGTAGTCTTCTTTTAATGTGTTTTATGTTGTGGTTGGCATTAGTCTTTTTCAAAATTAATAAATTTAATAACTTAGTGCAGTTACGAATAAACTTTGGTTTCTCAGTCATTTTTGTACACTTTAAGATATTGCTCGTGTGTAGTATTTAAATTTAAATAAAGTGCTAATAATTGTTTTATAAAACTTGAAACCACTTACAGCTTCTTACAAAATGTTAAGTATGACAAGTCATTTAAGAGTTATCTTTGTCTACAATTACTCCGGCAATCTTTCTATAACTATATGGTTCTCAGCAATACCACTATAATTAATGTAATTGGTAAAAACTTAAGCTAGCCATTAAATGTTTCTGTTAATCTGAAGTTCACAGTGTCACTTTGTCAAAGGATGGTGTGTAATGCCCTCATGCCGTTTTTCACAAACAAACGAAGTGCAGTGTCCGGTCCAGGCACAGTGTGGACACGATTTGCTTGTACTATTTTATTTTGTTTCGACAATCCCGCTACCATACCTCGTCTATTCTCATCTTAGTCCGGATCTCAGGGATTCAGCTCCGGTTTGAGATGATGGTAGTCAAAGGTATAGGAAACATAAAACAACATGTACCCTACCACAGGCCAAATAACCACCGGATTGAAAAAGAGTATGTTAGAATCGGTATCCTTATTTCCAGTCGGGTGCATTTTCATTAGCTCGTAGATATAAGCAGGGCTTATTTTCATTTCAGACAATTTGTATTTCTTTTTTGGCTGAAATTCTACTGCACGATGAGTTTCATTGTATTTTTATTACACAACAATTTACTCATGTCTCTTCTGATATACAAGTATTTATTTTAATAAGCTAAAAATTGTGATTAATTTTTAGTCCATCACAGACCCGAGGAACATTTCTAATCGACCTGAATAGCCTTCAAGACTAAGTTTGAATGCTCGCACCGAATCAAATTTCTTATGAATTGTTAAGGCACGATGGTGAATTTAAGATATCTATTAGGCGACTACTTTCTTCAATTTATGAGTATGTTTTTCTGACCCAATGTCGCCAGACTTGAAGAATCTTATTTAGAGTAATATTACGGAATTCGTCACAAAACTCGATTTTTACCCTGTAATTGGGGCAATTAAGTTCAAACTTACGAAATAAACCCATTCTTATAAATGTCAAGTCATCGTCTTGCATTTCATTAAAAGTGAAAAGAGAAACTTTGTTCTTTCACTAATTTCGGTTTGGTAACAATGCCGTTGAAATTAACAATGGAAAAAGGGACATATCAATTTTAGATCAGACAAATAAAAGTTCATATATCATTTAGTTTACCAATATAGATAAAAATGAGAAGCCACATAATATATATTGTTATGATAGACAATTTGATAATTGAGAATATCCAGTAACGAAACTTATTTTTTGGAAATATATGTTTATACAAATTATGGAATAAATTGGTATATTTTTTACGAATAATATATCGATAATGACAGGTGAGTGAAAACATGCCAGAGAAGCACGTCACATTGTGATCGTTTGACTGAACATAGCTGTTACCATAGATAGAGGATCCAGGATCATAATTACATGGCAACGGAGGCAAATGCCCCATGAAAATTAAATGAAATAGAAAAAATTAACTATTAATATATGGTGTCTATGGAAAAGGTGGTTATTGTTTAAAGCCTATCAACCCCCATCCCCATAATTTTTTTTTTAGTCTCTGCATGATCTCTGAGACAATCAAGCACTACTTTGATTCCGATCATTTTTATTGGTAGATTCGTTGGGGAGAGGTGGACTTCAGTGTCTGTTGATTGAAAGATCATGCTGAATAGAGGTGGCAGCAGATACAAATTAGACTATGTCTATACATATTTACTGTTTATTATCTATCTGGGTGCGCCTCTATTGATCTGTAAATCATAAAGAATAGAAAATATTTTAATTAACAATGTGATATAATAAAGTATTTTGTTGACGAATATTACTAATTAAAATATTGTAAATAATAAGTATGACTAAATAGATTACTCATTTTTTTCCTTTCATTTTTTTTTCACAACAATTCTTTCAAACGCAGTATTATATTTTCAGAAAAATGAAATGATATTCGACTATTTATATCTTATTGTCCCGATATGAAATTAACTGTCTTTATTACATGCACCTACACTTGCACGTTTTATCAACACGCATTTGATAGTGGTTTATTTCCGACTTGTGTCGCAATATGTTATTTGGTTTCGGTTGTTTCTTTTCGGTTTTTATTTTAATAAAAAAGGGTAGGCCTTTATTTCGTAGAGTGAAATGAGTTGAAATACGACATTTTGATCATTTCGGTTAAAAGGTATTCCTAAAAAATCCATTGAGAATGATCAATACCAGACCCAATAGAAGGTACATCAGAATAAGGAATATATCGTACCTTGGTGTGAACGTTACCAAAACCGATGCGACAGAAATTGAGCCCCGCGGGATGAAAATGGAAATGTGCTCTAATCAGTTACAGTTGGTGTGATGGACAAATACATGTACTTTGTTTTTGTGTGTAGATGAGTAAAACGATGATAGAGCAATATTTTCGCAGTAGAAAATACACCTGGTAACAAATATACCTATATGGTTACATAATGCCAAGTTGACATACCGGGTTGCATTAAGTGATTGGACTTCCTCACTAGAGTTCTACGCGCGCGAAGCAAACTAGGCTTACTGTTTTCTAAACATCTGATGGTACCTCTCTTTAGAGTATTCCACTACTATACAAATTCTACTCTTTAATAAACAGAATTGTCTTGCTTGTACGGATTTTTATTTCATAGTGATAATTTGAAAAGTTAGAGTCCATGCTTACATCAATTTCTACCTAGGTCTCAACTTGGGTGGTTTTCACTGGAGAATTATCTTCTTACATTATTACAATCTGTATCTTGTGAAATTTCAACTATTTCGCATACTCATTCAATACAAGATATTACCACAAAGACACGTTCGTGATTTTTGTCCGTAAGCTTATGTCGAGTTTGTGTTATGTAATTGCCCTTTTTTTATATGAATTAGATACCTATTCAATTTATACAATTCACTAACAAAAAAAGAATGTGCATCAGCCCTCTAGACGTTATTTGTTTATGGTCATAGAACGATACACTCTCGTAACCGAAGTAGGCCTAGAAGTCAAATCGCTTACACATACGCAAAAGGATGCAGGTCACAATATTTGGCTTTTAGCTCTTGAAGCTGGAACATTTGATGCCACGCTGACACTCGGTTTTCAATTCTGCTTCTTTTTTGGAGTCTACAGAGCTAACATTATTTTGGAGGGGTTTATGTTCGAAAGTAACTTGCAATTTTACAATACCTTCTTGAATTAACCATTGCGAGAATTAGCGTCTTTGAACATCTGTTGGGGAAAAATCCCTTAGTAACCCTTCCGTGTATTCGAACTGAACAAGAAATGAATCGTTATTAGAAGCTCGATACTCTTTCGTTTTGAATATCTGGACGTGCACGACACAATGAAATATTTCCATGGAGTTCAAAAGAACTCGATTTCCTTGTCTTAATGTTTGCCATTCGTTACAGATCGTCTAATTAACATGTATATAAATGGATGATAGGCGGGGACCTTCTTCTGTCATTGATACAAAGAACATTGTGTTGAATGGCCATGCCGGTTCATTTCATGTCCAATCTGTGATTATTTATTTTTTCATATCTTTTGTCAGTTCAATATGGCGACAGAATGTGGGTATTTTTTTATGTGTTAGCCATTCAAAATTTTTGTGAAATTATACCATTTATCAATATCGTTTTTAAGGAAGAACAATTATATCTAGTCCATGTGGTTAGACCATATGGTGATGAATGCAGCCAAAGGATTAACATTTCGGACCACAACTGCCATAGAATCGTCAGTTGAAAAAGAACAGAGAAAGATGATGTGGCGTAAATTCTTAGGCTTTGAAAGTTTTTTTTTCCTTAAAATTAACGAGACAGTCAAATTACGATGTACGACTGCACTGGCATTCTTAGTTCAAAATTTACATAAAGATTCGATTAAACCTAATCTTTTGCCAAATCGCCACAGGTGGTTAAGAATGTATTATTGAAATAGTCGCGCGTTCTTGAAAGTGGTTTTCTTATAAATACAATAAACATTTGAAAATGATATCAAAACGTGCCTGTAGACCTAGCTGTAATTGAAAATACAGATGATAAATGTCTCCCTTAACCACGATTTTACATAATGTTTATTTGTTATATTTATACACACAGATAGGCCGATGTCTCTTGGTTGTGGACTGTACCAAGAGGCTTTCTTCAGCTTTTCAGTCCGAGTCCACAACTTGTAGAGAATCCACTGTAGCAGGATATGACATTCTTCTGGAACAATCGATGCCATGGTGTTTCCTTTTGGAGAGTCCAAGCCAATAGCTTATGTGATATTATTTCAATAGCATCAATTATATCGGGTGCTATTATACAGGTATAATAGATTACGTATTATTGTGTATTTTTTGTAAGGTTTATATAATTGTATAATGTGTGTGTAATTGTGCACTTAAAGTGTAAATAAATTTATGTATTATTATTTAGTCAACCACACGAAAAGATGTATGTTAGTTTACACAACTGTATCGGCAAGAAAACACCCATGAAACAAAAAACAGACGAGGGTTACCGAATAGGAACTCCAGATGTCAGCGGAAAAGGAACATCATTCACTTTATTGGGATCAATGGAAACAGATAATGTCATCATAGAATGATGGTGTTCAAAATACCCAATAACACTGTCCACATTGATAGTCTAAAATTCGTCGTGTGTGTCTGTTTTACGAAGCGAAAGCACCCATTGTTATTTGCTTTTATGTCTCATGTCTGACTATTCAATTGGCTTTTAATTCATATTCTAGTCTTAATCAATTCTTTCACAGTTATTGTCTGTTGAACAGTGCAAGTCTTTAACAAGCCAAAAACAACAATGACGACCATCTTATGGTAGAATAATCTCATTAAATACATTACTAGGCCCCGTATTCCTGGCGAATTGTAAATCTAATGTAAACGTTATGGGTCTTGTGAGTATTTTGACAAGAGATTACAAAGTAGACAAGAATCCGGCATCAATGTTTAGTCTGTATAAGGAATAATTGATATAAAGTAGCTCACACTTAAAAGGTTAGAATACTATCTTTTCAGATTTATGTATGACCCGTCGTCGCCCGAATGTTTGTTGAACAGTAGGATACCTCGACGGTCGTAGAGGCAATTTACATGTGTGTTATGGAGTTCTATCTTTGGTTGAAATGGGTCAATATAAAAAAGCGCCCTATTCGATACGATAATGGAAACCCAGGGAACGAACCATTAGCATGATGCTAAGCTCACAGTATGACGATTCAGACCTCATAGCCAATCCAGTGAACAAACCAGTGGGATGATGCAGACCTCAAAGCCAATCCATTGAACAAACCAGGATGATGATGCAGACCCTACAGCCAATCCAGTGAACAAACCAGTAGGGCGATGCAGACCTCGAAGCCAATCCAGTGAACAAACCAGGATGATGATACAGACCCTACAGCCAATCCAGTGAACAAACCAGGATGATGATGCAGACCCCACAGCCAATCCAGTGAACAAACCAGTGGGATGATGCAGACCTCAAAGCCAATCCATTGAACAAACCAGGATGATGATGCAGACCCCACAGCCAATCCAGTGAACAAACCAGTGGGATGATGCAGACCTCAAAGCCAATCCAGTGAACAAACCAGGATGGTGATGCAGACCCCACAGCCAATCCAGTGAACAAACCAGGATGATGATGCAGACCCCACAGCCAATCCAGTGAACAAACCAGTGGGATGATGCAGACCCCACAGCCAATCCAGTGAACAAACCAGGATGATGATGCAGACCCCACAGCCAATCCAGTGAACAAACCAGTAGGATGATGCAGACCTCAAAGCCAATCCAGTGAACAAACCCGGAGGATGATGCAGACCCCACAGCCAATCCAGTGAACTATTCTTTCTGATGGTGATATACTTATACCCTAGGCCTTGCGGTCCGGAATAAATTTCAGAGAGTCCACATAGCTGATACATGTTATTTGGTGGGTTTATTACTTCATGGTAGTTTTAAGTTACTCTCAAGGTCTCTTACCTTTGAAATGGTTCACCCCATACTAACGTAAAGTGACTGACCCGTACAATACACTCGTCGAGTCCTTTTTTCGACATTTGTCACATGTTTTCCAAAATGTTAGTGGGTTTCTTTTTCAAGCGAAACTGTTTGATTAAATGGATTATTGTTTACATATTTTCATAGTAAATAAGTAATTGTAAAGAGAAGACCTAAATACCAAAATATATATCATAAATAACCCCGGTTTTTCTTTCATGTTCATCGAATTTCACAAGCCCTATTCTTTTTTACCTTTAATAATTGAAACCTGCTAGCATAAAATTAAATTTTAAAGGAACATTACCATTAATTTGACGTTACAATAGTCGGTTTTTGAGCACCTCGTATAAGGTAGGTATAGATTCCAAACGGCAACAACCGACCAACCGGAAGGGTATTTCTGAAGAGATTACAGACAACAATCCTGTCTTTACAATTACAGTGCGATCTGGAGTATGGACTTTGATCGATTCTTCAACTTTCAAATAATCCAATATAAGTCATCGTATATGGTAATTAAGGTAAGGTAAAATGTCGCATTGGCTGTTGAATATCTCTGAGTATGTAAAGTCCCTTTAAGTAAAAGCTAGACGCTGAATGTGTGATTAAATTGAAATATGAATAAATTGACAAACTACTTGAGTCAATATTTTGAAAATATAAAGCAACTAAACATTAATTTCCCTATAGCTGTAGGCTTGTTTAAGTGAATGGGCTCCTTTTAAGAGACGGAGAGAAGACGACGACCTTGAAGAGCAAAGCTTGGAATTCGTCCTCGCGGCAGTCCATGTAAAAGCCTATCCAATCAGCGCAATAATCGATTCGCATTATCCTTGCTTTATTTCTTTACATGCGAAGAAATAAAAAAGAAAATAATATTAAAAGAAAAAATCTTGAAAAAATATGGTCTGTTTTGTGAGTGTGACATGGTAGAAGTCTACTTCTTCCTGGTAACAAAATTGTCATTGGTGAAACCGATAAAAAAACAACTTCCTGATAATCACGATATACAGTAAAAACTGTATTAAGCGACCACGCAGTGGAAAATTCAAAAACGGTCTCTTACTGGAGGTGGTCTCTCTCTTATGAGAGAATTTAGTCGGCTGAAACAATTTCATTCATTTCCTTATTTCATTCTATGTATTAGAAATCTGCGCTTTCACCACTCATAGCACCAAAAACAATGTTAATTTGTTTATTTCTTCATTGCCGGTGAACCGATTCACACGTTTCTGATCGGGAGAAACATTGCTTTCAAAATCCTCCATAATTTCTGCTTTACGCTTCAGAATTCCCTGAATTTTGGTCTTACCACCACCTATTTCATCGACAATTTGTAGGATATACTGTATGATAATCCTTGCATTACAAACCTACAAGCTTAACTAGAAATGAAATCGTTCCAAATTCTAGTCTTTTGGTTGAGTCAAAGTAAATGTGACTGGACGGACCAACGGAAAGTTTGAGGAGTATATACAACCAAACTTTATTCGGTATTCCAAATGCTTCAATGAAGTCGAGACATAGTCGTGTGTCGACTTGTATGGATTGAACGACTCTTATAAGGTTATGTATAACTGAAGCGATCCAATATATTATGTTATTAAAAAGACTTATATTTTGCTCTAGGTAAATCTCAATTTTGAATTCAGTTCATCCTTCTGCTTGAATTAGTCATTCCTCTAACTGTAGTGACGCTATATAAAGAGTTGCTGTGTATTAAACATAAAGTTATCATATTTGCCGCGGTTACTTGACTTTGTCATTCTCGTCCATATTGGCTGATCCAGTATTGCTAATGAACTTCCTTCGTGTCTGCCTGATGGATTTCCTCGTCTGAAGAACTTGATAATCGAGTTTCTTCTTGTGAATTCTTGCCATTCTGATTTTGATGACGCATGTTTAATGATTTAATGCCCCATGTTGTACAATATTTAAGATATGGAAAGTTTTTCCAGGTGAATACTTGAAGAATATGGGATTGTCGGGTTTAAGAAGTCAAGTAACACGTACTGAAAAAGATAGTTTATCATATTGAGAATTTTCCGAAAAATAGTGAGTGGAATGGGCAACTAAAATATAATTCATTACATCGAATATACAGTTATAGATTTAGATTTTTAAATTGAGAGTGGTTTTATAAATCTTAGACGTTTTATAAACTGTAATAAAACAGATCGGAATAGTATGCACTGGAATAAATTCATGTTTTTTTTATTCTTAAAGGTATACATCTAAGGAGGCATCTGGTAAGCCCAACTGATGAATATATACACCAAGTTTGAGACTTTGAAATTTTATGTCCAATAGGGAATATTCCTTTAAACTTGATTTGTTTGCCAGACTCTGAAAAATGTTTTTGAGAATTGAAAAATCGCCTTCATTGTTGTTTGCGACCTTTTTGACTTTCTTTTAAACCTATAGCTCACGGGACCTTGGTATATTGGCCCATCTCAACGATCAGATGCTGGTTTCATGTCAGACCTTCCGACTAATATCACCAACAGGGAAAACTGTGTAATGCTTAATGTGTCCAGACGATCAGGTGTGGCTCCTTCAGAATCTCATTCATGATAAATATATTTAATCACGGCTTCGAATTACTGGCTATATCATAAAATAACACTTAGAAAGGTAAATTGTATGTGAATTTGGCAATGGTTTTCGGTTACAGCTGTTTTGATGTGAGTCTTTACAGCCAATTTTCAATTGAACGTTATTAGCCGCC